AGAATAAGCAAACCGCAACTCTGGTAGAGAGTCTTACGAGATAGATATTAACACCTGAGAGTTTTATTTTTACAACTTGGATTTACAGCAAAACAATCTCCACTTGATGTGGGATTGGTTTCCTTCTGTTCAGTTTGTGTTGTTAATGGCTCTGAAAGGTTTGGGAGAGGATCTGTGGAGCCAGTTCCAGATCGGTCCTCCTACTTAGAATACAGTGGGTATCCCCATCTGATACAGTCACTTGTAAGTGTATTTGTCTATGTATATATGCACATATATGTTTGTCTGTGTGATGTAAATGTAGTTTTGAAACTGAATAGTGTCGCACACTTGTACAGGGTAACTAGAATTGTATGAGTGGCTATAAGGCAGACACTACATCACAATTATCTGTACCATGGAACAAGCCCATGAGCTTATGCCTTCGGATCCTACTTATTTCAGGCAATATTCACCACTGTTGCGGGGTAGTGGGAATGCTGAGTTCATCTCTTTTGGTGGCATTGTAATATCTTTGCTCACAAGGGTAGAGGTCAGGAGGCATAGAAAAAAGAAAATGGGTTTGGGGGCCAAAGACTGGGATAAAATCCTAAACCCATCAGCTAATAGCTATGACGTTAGGCAAGTGACTTAATCTCTCTGTGACTATTCATAAAATTTATAAAATTGGAAAATCTATACTATTCCATACTAATACTGTTGTGAACATTAAACAAAATACTTTTTGTAAAGTTTGTACCTGAGAGCTTGACAGAGAGTAGGCACTCAAAAACTTTTAGCTTGCTTCACATTATAAAACTAGCCCAGAACAATGAAACTTTCCCCCCAGTAATACACGCAGGTGTATGGGTTCATGCTTACAGGCTGCCATATGAATGTACTCTCTAGTTGTCTCTTCTAAAAACATGCAATGTGTGGATCCAGTAAAGTCTGTCATTCTAGAAGTGTATCACAACTGTATCAATCAGAGTTAACAAAGGAGACAAAAAAGATGAAGTAGAAAAGCCACAATCCGTGGAAATTTACTACTTTTAAAGTTTTTTTGGTACTTCAATTATGCATGTGTGGTTTTGTGTGTCTGCATGTGTATAAAATCCAACAGAGGCCGGGCGCGGTGGCTCACGCCTGTAATCCCAGCACTTTGGGAGACTGAGGCGGGTGGATCATGAGGTCAGGAGATCGAGACCATCCTGGCCAACATGGTGAAGCCCCATCTCTACTAAAAATACAAAAGTTAACCAGGCATGATGGCACGTGCCTATAGTCCCAGCTACTCAGGAGGCTGAGGCAGGAGACTCGCTTGAACGCGGGAGGCGGAGATTGCAGTGAGCCGAGATCGTGCCACTGCGCTCCAGCCTGGGCGACAGAGCAAGACTCCCTCTCACAAAAAGAAAAAAAAAAAACAGAATATTTTAAATATTGTTACATATAGCCAATATTATTTTAGATTTACCACATATCTACCATTTTCATTCCTCTTCATTCCTCCCTGTACAAACTTCAATCTAGATTTGTTTTTTTCTCTACCTAAAGAATACCTTTTAGTATTTTCTGTAATGCAGATCTGTTGGTGGTGAATTCTTTTAATTACTGTTTGTCTGAACGTGTCTCTATTTTGCCTTCATTCTGGAAGGACCTTTTGGCTCCATACAGAATTCTCAATTGGCAATTATTTTTCTTTAGCACTGTAAAGATATTCCATTATTTCCATTGTCTACTGGCTTCCATTATTTTTGTTGAGATGTAAAGTGTGAGTTCAGTTGTTGCTTATTTGGAGGTAATATGTATTTTGTTTTAAAGGCTTTTTTTTTTTTAATGGAGTTTCTCTGTTGTCACCAAGGCTGGAGTGCGATGGCATGATCTTGGCTCACTGCAACCTCGGCCTCCCGGGTTCAAGCAATTCTCCTGCCTCAGCCTCCCAAGTAGCTGGGATTACAGGCTCCTGCCACCATGCCCGGCTAATTTTTATATTTTTAGTAGAGATGGGGTTTCACCATGTTGGCCGAGTTGGTCTCAAACTCCTGACCTCCGGTGATCCACCCGCCTCGGCCTCCCAAAGTGCTGGGATTACAGGCGTGAACCACCATGCCCAGCCTATTCTAGAGACTTAATGATATTTTTTTCCTGTGTAGTTTGCAAGATGTCTTTGATTTATAGCAATTTATTTCTCATCTGCCTCAGTGAGGATTTCTTTTTATTTTTCCTGTTTGGGCTAGGCCTTCTTGAAACTGTTTTACTATCCTTCTTCAGTGTGGGAAAATTCTTAGCCATTACCTCCTCAAATATGACTTCTGCCCTGTTACCTCCCCTCTCTTCCTCCTCCTAGGATTCAAATTGTGTGTCTGTTAGCCCCTCTCAATTTATCTTATCTGTCTCTTACCCTCTCCTCCATATTAACCATCTTTTTGTCTCTGTGTTCACTCTGTGGAGTCTCTTCTAAAGCTCTAATTAGAGAATCCACTTCATGAATTCTTTCTTAATCCACGTCTATTCAACTGGAAAACTCATTGCATTCTTGATTTCAATGGGTGTATATTTTAATTCTATAATTCTCATAGATCTTTTTAAAAATTTTAATTAATTTTTTTAGAGACAGGGTCTCACTCTGTTGCCCAGGCTGGAGTGCATCTTGCGATCATAGCTCACTGCAGCCTCTAACTCCTGGGCTCAAGATCTTCCTGCCTCAGCCTCCTGAGTAGTTGGGACTACAGGCGCGCATCACCACACTAGGCTATTTTTTTTTTTTTTTTAGTTCTGTAGAAACAGGGTCTCACTTTGTTGCCCAGACTCATCTGAAACTCCTGGCCTCAAGTGATCATCCCCGTCTCAGCCTCCCAAAGTGCTGGGATTACAGACGTGAGCCACCATGCCTGGCTTCCTGGATCTTTTAAAAACAGGTCCTAGTTTCCTATCAAAATTCTCAAGCTGTCTTTAATCTTCTTAAATATTGTAAGCATAGTCATTGTAAGGTCTATATGTATGACTCTATATGAGAAGCCCTGGAGCATCTGTTTTTAAGATCTGATATTTTATTAGTGTTTATACATGTTATCTGGTCTCCTCATGACCACCACCCCCCTTTTTAAATTGAATGCTTTTATTTGCAAAATTGTGAAAATAATTCAAGACCTTAATCCAGTTTTAGGAACCCAGATGAGTCAAATCTGAGCTTGAGACCTTGAAAGGCCTGTTGGCTTGTGGTTCACTGTCACCTCTAAGGGACAGTGCTTTGGGGTCACAACTGAAAAGAATGGGGTTCACCAGAGAGCACCCTCCCTTGGTATACCCTGAACTTCATTACCTTTTCCCTATGCTCTTAACATTATCAAAAGTCCAGTTGGTTTCCCAACTGCTCCACTTTGGAATGTTCAAGTGTCTTCAGGAGAAAACAGGCCCCTAACACCAGCTTCAACTGCCTGGGCCATCATGCTCTCCTGATCCAACCCAGGGACTTTGTGTGTGTGTGTGTGTGTGTGTGAGAGAGAGAGAGAGAGAGAGAGAGAAAGACAGAGAGAGAGGCAGAGAGACCAGAGAGACAGAGTTTCGCTCTATCGCCCAGGCTGGAGTGCAGTGCTGCGATCTCGGCTCACTGCAGCCTCTGCCTCCTGGGTTCAAGCAAGTCTTCTGCCTCAGCCTCCCGAGTAGCTGGGATTATAGGCACCTGCCACCACACCTGGCTAATTTTTGTATTTTTAGTAGAGACAGGGTTTCACCATGCTGGCCAGGCTGGTCTCAGAATAAAGTGGCACAATCTTGGCTCACTGCAACTTCCGTCCCCCGGGTTCAAGCGATTCTCCCTTCTGAGTAGCTGGGATTGTAGATGCCCGCCACTACACCTGGCTAAGTTTTGTATTTTTAGTAGAGACGGGATTTCGCCATGTTAGCCAGGCTGGTCTCAAACTCCTGACCCCAGATGATCCATGCGCCTTGGCCTCCCAAAGTGCTGGAATTACAGGCATGAGCCACCGCACCTGGCCGTTTTACTATCTTATTTGCTGTCCAGTACTATAAGAAAAAAAGTTTAAACATTTTGTCCAGAGTTTTTAAATGTATTTGTTTGCTTACATTTTTGTTCAGAGTTTTTAGTTGTCCTCAGAAGGAGGGTTGGTCCAAATTACCTAGTCTACTACATCTAGAAAGGACATTGAAAATTGACCTTTTTTTTTTTTTTTTGAGACAGAGTCTCACTCTGTGGCCCAAGCTAGATCGCCCAGTGGCACGATTTCAGCTCACTGCAACCTCTGCCTCCTGGGTTCAAGCAATTCTCGTGTCTCAGCCTCCCAAGTAGCTAGGATTACAGGTGCCCACCACCATGCCTGGCGAATTTTTTTTACTTTTAGTGGAGACAGGGTTTCGCCATGTTGGCCAGGCTGGTCTTGAACTCCTGACCTCAAGTGATGCACCCACCTTGGCTTCCCAAAGTGCTGGGATTACAGGCATGAGCCACTGTGCCCTGCCACCAAGCATCCTTTTAGGGCCTGGGGACTCAATGATAAACACATCATGCCTGCCTCTTGGAACTCACCTACAGTCTCACTCTGATCCCTGTTTAGTCCTGTCCTGTATGATAATAACAGCTGTCCATTGAGCTCATAAAATCTAAGACCATGCTGGGCTTCTGAGCCACCCGCAGAGCCTAGCTCAGTGCTGAAAGCTAAGTGGGTGTTCTGTCATTGCTGGGGTTTGATTGACTGGTTCTAACAGAGACCAGCTATAGAGCTAACACTTGGTGGAATATTTTGAATATTGATGGTCTTTTCACTGGCTTCTGTCTATGGTAAGTACAGGTACAACCCAAAGTGAAGAGCCTCATTTATAGGGTGTGACTGTGGGAGAGGGAGGTTTGCAAACTGAGTCATTTTCCCCCCATTCGGCCTGTGTGTGTCTGTGTGTGTATGTGTGAGTTCATACGTGTGTGTGTGCATAAAATCAAACAAGAATAAAATGTTTTCATTTGTCCCCTTCCTTCTTCCTCTCTCTGTCTCTCCCTGTTTCCACAGGTCAGCGTTGAAGTTTTGGTAGAGTATCCTTTTTTTGTGTTTGGACAGGGCTGGTCATCCTGCTGTCCGGAGAGAACCAGCCAGCTCTTTGATTTGCCGTGTTCCAAACTCTCAGTTGGGGATGTGTGCATCTCGCTTACCCTCAAGAACCTGAAGAACGGCTCTGTTAAAAAGGGCCAGCCCGTGGATCCCGCCAGCGTCCTGCTGAAGCACTCAAAGGCCGACGGCCTGGCGGGCAGCAGACACAGGTATGCCGAGCAGGAAAACGGAATCAACCAGGGGAGTGCCCAGATGCTCTCTGAGAATGGCGAACTGAAGTTTCCAGAGAAAATGGGATTGCCTGCAGCGCCCTTCCTCACCAAAATAGAACCCAGCAAGCCCGCGGCCACGAGGAAGAGGAGGTGGTCGGCGCCGGAGAGCCGCAAACTGGAGAAGTCAGAAGACGAACCACCTTTGACTCTTCCTAAGCCTTCTCTAATTCCTCAGGAGGTTAAGATTTGCATTGAAGGCCGGTCTAATGTAGGCAAGTAGAGGCAGCGTGGGGGAAAGGAAACGTGGCTCTCCCTTATCGTTTGTATCCAGATTACTGTACTGTAGGCTAAATAACACAGTATTTACATGTTATCCTCTTATTTTAGGTTTCTGTTCTAACCTTGTCATTAGAGTTACAGCAGGTGTGTCGCAGGAGACTGGTGCATATGCTTTTTCCACGAGTGTCTGTCAGTGAGCGGGCGGGAGGAAGGGCACAGCAGGAGCGGTCAGGGCTCCACGCATCCCCGGGGAAGAAAGGAACCGGGCTCCACAGCGCCTGCTTTCTGTAGCGGCCCAGAAGCAGCCAAGGGCGCTGACTCCCGCTAGTGTCAGGAGAAAAGTCCCGTGGGAAGGGTCCTGCAGGGGTGCAGGGGTGCACGCAAGTGGGGGTGCACAGGCGCTGTGGCGGCGAGTGAGGGTCTCTTTTTCTCTGCCTCCCTCTGCCTCACTCTCTTGCTATCGGCATGGGACGGGGTGTTCAGAGCAGTGTCCTCCTGGGGTTCCCATGTGCAAAATCAACATCAGGAACCCAGCTTCAGGGCATCGCGGAGGCGCGTCAGACGGCAGATTTGGAAAGTTAACCATTTAAAAGAACATTTTTCTCTCCAACCTATTTTACAATAAAAGCAACTTTTAATTGTATAGATATATATTTCCCCCTATGGGGCCTGACTGCACTGATATATTTTTTTTTTTAAAGAGCAACTGCCACATGCGGGATTTCATTTCTGCTTTTTACTAGTGCAGCGATGTCACCGGGGTGTTGTGGTGGACAGGGAAGCCCCCTGCTGTCATGGCCCCACATGGGGTAAGGGGGGTTGGGGGTGGGGGCGGGGGAGAGAGCAAACACCCACGCTGGTTTCTGTGCAGTGTTAGGTAAACCAATCAGGTTATTGCATTGACTTCACTCCCAAGAGGTAGATGCAAACTGCCCTTCAGTGAGAGCCACAGAAGCTCTTCACGTTGAGTTTGCAAAATCTTTTTGTCTTTGAACTCTAGTACTGTTTATAGTTCATGACTATGGACAACTCGGGTGCCACTTTTTTTTTTTTTTCAGATTCCAGTGTGACATGAGGAATTAGATTTTGAAGATGAGCATATATTACTATCTTTAAGCGTTTAAAAATACTGTTCACACTTTATTACCAAGCATCTTGGTCTCTCATTCAACAAGTACTGTATCTCACTTTAAACTCTTTGGGGAAAAAAAAAACACAAAAAAACAAAAAAAACTAAGTTGCTTTCTTTTTTTCAACACTGTAACTACATTTCAGCTCTGCAGAATTGCTGAAGAGCAAGATATTGAAAGTTTCAATGTGGTTTAAAGGGATGAATGTGAATTATGAACTAGTATGTGACAATAAATGACCACCAAGTACTACCTGACGGGAGGCACTTTTCACTTTGATGTCTGAGAATCAGTTCAAGGCATATGCAGAGTTGGCAGAGAAACTGAGAGAAAAGGGATGGAGAAGAGAATACTCATTTTTGTCCAGTGTTTTTCTTTTTAAGATGAACTTTTAAAGAACCTTGCGATTTGCACATATTGAGTTTATAATTTGTGTGATATTCCTGCAGTTTTTATCCAATAACATTGTGGGAAAGGTTTGGGGGACTGAACGAGCATAAATAAATGTAGCAAAATTTCTTTCTAACCTGCCTAAACTCTAGGCCATTTTATAAGGTTATGTTCCTTTGAAAATTCATTTTGGTCTTTTTACCACATCTGTCACAAAAAGCCAGGTCTTAGCAGGCTCTTAGAAACTCTGAGAATTTTCTTCAGATTCATTGAGAGAGTTTTCCATAAAGACATTTATATATGTGAGCAAGATTTTGTTTTAAACAATTATTTTATTATTGTTGTTATTAATGTTGTTTTCAGAATGACTTTTTTTTTTTCTATTCAAAATCAAATCAAGATTTAATGTTTGGTACAAACCCAGAAAGGGTATTTCATAGTTTTTAAACCTTTCATTCCCAGAGATCTGAAATATCATTTGTGGGTTTTGAATGCATCTTTAAAGTGCTTTAAAAAAACAGTTTTATAAGTAGGGAGAAATTTTTAAATATTCTTACTTGGATGGCTGCAACTAACCTAAACAAATACCTGATTTTTCTTTTACCCCATTGAAAATAGTACTTCCTTCATTTCACAAATTAAAAAAAAAAAAAAATCTGGTATCAACCCACATTTTGGCTGTCTAGTATTCATTTACATTTAAGGCTCACCAGGACTAATGATTTTTGTAAACCATTTTCTGGGGTGTACCAAAAACATTCGAATAGGTTTAGAATAGCTAGAATAGTTCCTTGACTTTCCTCGAATTTCATTACCCTCTCAGCATGCTTGCAGAGAGCTGGGTGGGTTCATTCTTGCAGTCATACTGCTTATTTAGTGCTGTATTTTTTAAACGTTTCTGTTCAGAGAACTTGCTTAATCTTCCATATATTCTGCTCAGGGCACTTGCAATGATTAGGTTTTGTTTTTCCTTTTTGTTTTTTAACCTTTGATGGTAAGAGGAATACGGGCTGCCACATAGACTTTGTTCTCATTAGTATCACTATTTACAACTCATGTGGACTCAGAAAAACACACACCACCTTTTGGCTTACTTCGAGTATTGAACTGACTGGATCCACTAAACCAACACTAAGATGGGAAAACACACGTGGTTTGGAGCAATAGGAACATCATCATAATTTTTGTGGTTCTTTTTCAGGTATAGGAATTATAAAATAATTGGTTCTTTCTAAACACTTGTCCCATTTCATTCTCTTGCTTTTTTAGCATGTGCAATACTTTCTGTGCCAATAGAGTCTGACCAGTGTGCTATATAGTTAAAGCTCATTCCCTTTTGGCTTTTTCCTTATTTGGTTGGTCTTTCCCATTCTGGCCAGAGCAGGGCTGGAGGGAAGGAGCCAGGAGGGAGAGAGCTTCCCACCTTTCCCCGGCTGCGGATGCTGAGTGCTGGGGCGGGGAGCCTTCAGGAGCCCTGCGTCTGCCGCCACGTTGCAGAAAGAGCCAGCCAAGGAGACCTGGGGGAGGAGCCGCAGTGTCCCCTGTCACCACACGGAATAGTGAATGTGGAGTGTGGAGAGGAAGGAGGCAGATTCATTTCTAAGACGCACTCTGGAGCCATGTAGCCTGGAGTTAACCCATTTTCCACGGTCTTTTCTGCGAGTGGGCAGGCCCCCCCTTGGGGTCTGTGTCCTTGAGACTTGGAGCCCCTGCCTCTGAGCCTGGACGGGAAGTGTGGCCTGTTGTGTGTGTGCGTTCTGAGCGTGCTGGCCAGTGGCTGTGGAGGGGACCACCTGCCACCCACGGTCACCACTCCCTTGTGGCAGCTTTCTCTTCAAATAGGAAGAACGCACAGAGGGCAGGAGCCTCCTGTTTGCAGACGTTGGTGGGCCCCGAGGCTCCCAGAGCAGCCTCTGTCACCGCTTCTGTGTAGCAAACATTAACGATGACAGGGGTAGAAATTCTTCGGTGCCGTTCAGCTTACAAGGATCAGCCATGTGCCTCTGTACTATGTCCACTTTGCAATATTTACCGACAGCCGTCTTTTGTTCTTTCTTTCCTGTTTTCCATTTTTAAACTAATAACAGCAGGCCTTTTGCGTTTACAATGGAACACAATCACCAAGAAATTAGTCAGGGCGAAAAGAAAAAAAAATAATATTAATAATAAGAAACCAACAAACAAGAACCTCTCTTTCTAGGGATTTCTAAATATATAAAATGACTGTTCCTTAGAATGTTTAACTTAAGAATTATTGCAGTTTGTCTGGGCCACACTGGGGCAGAGGGGGGAGGGAGGGATACACAGATGGATGCCACTTACCTCAGATCTTTTAAAGTGGAAATCCAAATTGCATTTTCATTTGGACTTTCAGGATAATTTTCTGTGTCGGTCAATTTTTCGTTTTCCCTAACTCACCCAGTTTAGTTTGGGATGATTTGATTTCTGTTGTTGTTCTTGATCCCATTTCTAACTCGGAATTGTGAGCCTCTATGTTTTCTGTTAGGTGAGTGTGTTGGGTTTTTCCCCCCACCAGGAAGTGGCAGCATCCCTCCTTCTCCCCTAAAGGGACTCTGCGGAACCTTTCACACCTCTTACTCAGGGACGGGGCTGGTGTGTGTGTGGTACACTGATGTGTCCAGAAGCAGCACTTTGACTGCTCTGGAGTAGGGTTGTACAATTTCAAGGAATGTTTGGATTTCCTGCATCTTGTGGATTACTCCTTAGATACCGCATAGATTGCAATATAATGCTGCATGTTCAAGATGAACAGTAGCTCCTAGTAATCATAAAATCCACTCTTTGCACATAGTTTCATCTTTACTGAAATATGTTGCCAAAATTTATTTTTGTTGTTGTAGCTCTGGATTTTGTTTTGTTTTGTTTTTTAAGGAAACGATTGACAATACCCTTTAACATCTGTGACTACTAAGGAAACCTGTTTCTTTCATAGAGAGAAAAATCTCCAATGCTTTTGAAGACACTAATGCCATGCTATTTCAGATATGGGTGAGGAAGCAGAGCTCTCGGGACCGAAGGCCAGGCTTCTTGAGCTGTATTGGTTGTCATGGCTACGGTTTCATGAACCACAAGCAGCTCAACAGACTGGTCTGTTGCCTTCTGAAACCCTTTGCACTTCCATTTGCACCAGGTGAAAACAGGGCCAGCAGACTCCGTGGCCCAATTCGGTTTCTTCGGTGGTGATATGAAAGGAAAGAGAATTACACTTTTTTTTTTTTTTAAAGTGGCGTGGAGGCCTTTGCTTCCACATTTGTTTTTAACCCAGAATTTCTGAAATAGAGAATTTAAGAACACATCAAGTAATAAATATACAGAGAATATACTTTTTTATAAAGCACATGCATCTGCTATTGTGTTGGGTTGGTTTCCTCTCTTTTCCACGGACCGTGTTGTGTTTCTGGCATAGGGAAACTCCAAACAACTTGCACACCTCTACTCCGGGGCTGAGATTTCTTTTACATAGATGACCTCGCTTCAAATATGTTACCTTACTGATAGGATCTTTTCTTGTAGCACTATACCTTGTGGGAATTTTTTTTTTAATGTACACCTAATTTGAGAAGCTGAAGAAAACAAAATTTTGAAGCACTCACTTTGAGGAGTACAGGTAATGTTTTAAAAATTGCACAAAAGAAAAATGAATGTCGAAATGATTCATTCAGTGTTTGAAAGATATGGATCTGTTGAAACAATGAGTTTCATACTTTGTTTGTAAAAAAAAATAAATAAAGCAGAGAAGGGTTGAAAGTTACATGTTTTTTTGTATATAGAAATTTGTCATGTCTAAATGATCAGATTTGTATGGTTATGGCCTGGAAGAATTACTACGTAAAAGGCTCTTAAACTATACCTATGCTTATTGTTCTTTTTGTTACACATAGCCCTCGTCTGAGGGAGGGGAACTCGGTATTCTGTGATTTGAGAATACTGTTCATTCCTATGCTGAAAGTACTTCTCTGAGCTCCCTTCTTAGTCTAAACTCTTAAGCCATTGCAACTTCTTTTTCTTCAGAGATGATGTTTGACATTTTCAGCACTTCCTGTTCCTATAAACCCAAAGAATATAATCTTGAACACGAAGTGTTTGTAACAAGGGATCCAGGCTACCAATCAAACAGGACTCATTATGGGGACAAAAAAAAAAAAAAATATTTAACCTTTTTTCCCCCCACACCTCATTTAAATAGGGGGGGTAAAAACATGATTTCAGTGTAAATGCCTCATTTTACTTTAGTTTTATTTTGATTTTTATTGAATATAAAGAGGCCAAAATAAATGCGGATCTACTTCTCAGAATAGTATTCCTGTCCAAAAATCAAGCCGGACAGTGGAAACTGGACAGCTGTGGGGATATTAAGCACCCCACTTACAATTCTTAAATTCAGAATCTCGTCCCCTCCCTTCTCGTTGAAGGCAATTGTTCTGGTAGCTAACTTTCTCCTGTGTAATGGCGGGAGGGAACACCGGCTTCAGTTTTTCATGTCCTCATGACTTGCATACAAATGGTTCAACTGTATTAAAATTAAGTGCATTTGGCCAACAGGTAGTATCTATACAATAACAATCTCTGAGAATTTCCATACCTTTTCTTATCTGAAAGGACTCAAGTCTTCCACTGCAGATACATTGGAGGCTTCACCCACGTTTTCTTTCCCTTTAGTTTGTTTGCTGTCTGGATGGCCAGTGAGCCTGTCTCCTTTTCTGTGGCCCATCTGAAGGCCTTCATTGGAAGCGTTGTTTACAGTAATCCTTACCAAGATAACATACTGTCCTCCAGAATACCAAGTATTAGGTGACACTAGCTTAAGCTGTTGTCTTCAGAGCAGTTACCAAGCAGCTCAGTGCACAGGTTTTCTCTGGTTCTTACAGGAACCACCTACTCTTTCGGTAATCTGGTCCAGGAGTGGGGTAAATCCTTTAGTCAGTGCATTGGAACTTGATACTTGTGCATTCGGTTCTGTGAATACTGCCCTTTTTGGCGGGGTTTCTTCCTCTCCCCAGCCTGAACTGCTCAACTCTTAACCCAAATTAGTGTCAGCCGAAAGGAGGTTTCAAGACAGTCCTGTCAGTACTTGTGGTGACCTTCAGATTAGACAGTCTTCATTTCCAGCCAGTGGAGTCCTGACTCCAGAGCCATCTCTGAGACTCGTACCACTGGATATTTTAATATCAGATCATTACCCACCAAACTTCCAATCGTATGCCTCCCACAGGCCAAGGGAAACAGACACCAGAACTTGGGTTGAGGGCACTACCAGACTGACATGGCCAGTACAGAGGAGAACTAGGGAAGGAATGATGTTTTGCACCTTATTGAAAAGAAAAATTTTAAGTGCATACATAATAGTTAAGAGCTTTTATTGTGACAGGAGAACTTTTTTCCATATGCGTGCATACTCTCTGTAATTCCAGTGTAAAATATTGTACTTGCACTAGCTTTTTTAAAACAAATATTAAAAAATGGAAGAATTCATATTCTATTTTCTAATCGTGGTGTGTCTATTTGTAGGATACACTCGAGTCTGTTTATTGAATTTTATGGTCCCTTTCTTTGATGGTGCTTGCAGGTTTTCTAGGTAGAAATTATTTCATTATTATAATAAAACAATGTTTGATTCAAAATTTGAACAAAATTGTTTTAAATAAATTGTCTGTATACCAGTACAAGTTTATTGTTTCAGTATACTCGTACTAATAAAATAACAGTGCCAATTGCAGAGGTGTGTCTTTGCCTTCTGTTGGGTCCTCAAAGAAGAGGAAAGAGTGTTAATTCCTCCTCCTCGTTGACTCCCGCTCACAAGTTCTCCCTGGGTAGGTCGGAGGTGGGGAGGTGTGACGTGAGGCATTGCCTTTGCTGCTAATGTTTTGGGGTGAAGAGTATGTGTGAGATGAGGTTCTAAGATAAAAGGCACACAGCCATACTTGATGTCTTGGTTTCTTCAGTTCATGTTTATGCCTCCTAGCTGAACACTGCTGTTCACGAGAGGTATATTTGTCTTTAAACATGTGGTAGCTTCATGGGCTCATGTGGCATAATCTATACACTCTTTACAGATTTGCTCTAAACTGGTTAGTGGTCTGAAAGTGGAAAATTTATTTCTATTTCCTGTAATTCAAGCTCATTAGAAATTCAGCGAGCAGGCTGGGCACAGTGGCTCACGCCCATAATCCCAACACTTAGAGAGGCCGAGGCAGGAGGTCTGCTTGAGCCCAGGAGTTCGAGACCAGCCTGGGCAACATCGTAAGACCTCATCTCTACAAAAAATGAAATTAACCGGGTGTGGTGGCACATGCCTGTTGTCCCAGCTACTTGGGGGACTGAGGTGGGAGGATCACGTGGGGCCAGGAGGTCGAGGCTGCAGTGAGCCATAATCATACCGCTGCGCTCCAACCTGGGCGACAGCAAAACTCTGCCTCAAAAGCAAAAAATACCCAACTCTTTGAGCAGGTCTCTCAGCATGTGGAGGAACCCCGTTTACTTCAAGAGTACCACAGTACAGCTTTGCACTGGGCCGTCTTGGAAAGATGTGGCTTAGCAGTTGTGCCAGAAAGTAGTTCCTCAAGAACCCGTGGCTTCTAGGTGGAACCACCTGCACCCACCTCAAATCCTTCCAGCCTGAAGGTGACACAGAGGTGGCAGAACGCTTGGGGTTAAATTCATTTTCACTTCCAAGGAGGAACTATCTTCTTGGGATGGTGTTTTGGACTCTCCTCTGATTACTTAATAGTTGAGGTCCTGACACATTATATAATAAATATGTGAAAGGACGCACAGCAAACCAGAGCTGCGTAGGTGTAGCTCAGGCTAGCAGGCCTGCCCCAGGTCCTCTAGAGTAGCCCGGGCAAATGTGCCCGTGTGCTGTGGGCAAACCTGGCAAAGCAGACTGCATCTCTGCCTTCCCTTTTTGTGTGATGCTGTTTGTTCTGACAAGTTTGGGGTCCAGTGGCTGGGCTACTTACCTCAGCTGGTGAAATCAATTCGGGGGAACCATAGCTTCAGGTGCTGCAGTGGGGCAGGCCTTGAAACCATCAAAAGCATTGCCAGAGCCCTCAGATGGAGCAGCCCGAGCAGCCCAAGGTGAATGGCATCGAGTTCACTGGCTCTCCTCCTCCTCCCCCAGCGCCGGCACAGGAAGCCCAGTGGGTCGGCAGCAAGGCTGTTATGTTTCATGTCCAGGTCCTGTAGGACACCTGGTCCAAGGGACACTCCGGTGTGGGCTCCCCCACTCCCATTCCTCTCAGAGGCAAAGATGAACCTGCTAAGGCAAGGGGTGATGGAGCCTTACAAGTTCTCTTTATGGGCCAGGTGCAGTGGCTCACACCTGTAATCCCAGCACTTTGGGAGGCCGAGGTGGGTGGATCACGTGAGCCCAGGAGTTTGAGACCACCTGGGTAACATGGCAAAATCCCATCTCTACTAAAACTAAAAACACAAAAATTAGCTGGACGTGGTGCTACCTATAATCCCAGCTCCTCTGGAGGCTGAGGCACGAGAATCGCTTGAACCTGCAAGGCGGAGGTTGCAATGAGCCAAGATTGTGCCACTGCACTCCGCCTGGGTGACAGAGCAAGATTTGGTCTCAAAAAAAGAAAAAAAAAGTTCTCTTTCTGAAGCCTCTGTTTCAAAATGGTCCTGAGGAGTTTTTGACTTTGTAACTACTCAGTCTCCACTTCCCTAAAACTTGGATTGCTAAGAATCTGCTTTTAGTTTGTGGAAACAGAGGGCCAGTCTGCAAAGTTTTTACAGAAGATGGGTAAAGCAGCACGTGTTCCTACAAGGGACACAGCCCTCAGGGTGCTGCAAGCCGACAGATGGGTGTCATCCTCCCTGACCACTCTATTCTGAAAGAAGCTCCCTTACTACTGCTGGTCCATTTTTAATAGATTTCTTTAAGATGTCCTCTCCTTCACCTCTCTCCCTTATTTTGCAATAGTCTGTTAGAAACTAACATTTGAAGATGCGTGTAAAACACACCTTCCACAGGACCAGCGTGAGAGCCTCATACCTCACACAGACAGGACCACAGAGAGCATGGGGGGGAGCCTGCAGCCAAGCCCCACGTCTTGCTCCATGTTAAACAGCCTCTTGGCCCTCCCGTCTCCAAAGTGCAGCCCTTGTGTTTCTATAGGTCCAAGAATTATTCTTAATGGGCTGGGCACAGTGGCTCACATCTGTAATCCTTGCACTTTGGGGAGGTCGAGGTAGGTGGATGGCTTGAGCCCTGGAGTTTGAGACCAGTCTGGGCAACATGGTGAAACCCTGTCTACAAAAAATACAAAAATTAGCTGGGCATGGTGGCAGGCAGGCTGAGGTCGGCGGATCACCTGAGCCCGGGAGGTAGAGGCTGTGGTGAGCTGTGATCCTGCCACTGCACTCCAGCCTGGGTGACACAAGTGAGACCCAAAATTCTTAATGGATTTAGCAGGGGAAAGTATTGCATTGGAGTCAACACTGCTGGCTGGATTTCTAAATGTATTCTTAAAGGACCAGCAGTGGACCTGTATTATCCCAGTGTGACAGTTCTGGTTGGACCCTTCTCATGCCGTCAGTCACCATGGACAATCAGGCCATTCATTCACCCTGGCACAGCAGCACCCTGTGGATCTTCTCTACTCCAGGGTCACTGCTTGCCTTTCCAAAGAAAACTGACTTGTGTATCTGCTCTTCAGCCTTAAAAAGTAAAGTAAAACATCCTGCTCTACATACGCTTTCCAGGCCTGGAACTCAATACGCCAAAGGTAAGTGGCCGGTCATCACTTCTTCTCTGTTCACTATTTAAATAGGCATCCTGGTGGGCTGCTGCAGGTCAGCTGCAGAGGCCAGTTCTCCAAGACAATGTCATTGTTCCCAGCCCGCTAACTGACCCGTATACAGTAGTGCCCTGTGGTCCTTCCCCCGGGGAAAGGATTCACTGGCACACCGAGGGAATGGCTCTAACTCATGTCTCAAACCAATGCCTTTTAGGATGCCACTGATCGAAGAGCTTTGGCTCTTTTTCAGTGTGACTCCATCTGCTAATTTCTTGGGAGACAACCTTCCCATAAAACATCCTGTGGAATTTCAAAGACAGACAAGTTGGGACTGAGAAGGGGGGAAAAAAAGATGGAGGAGAACAAAACGAAATGAGAAGCCAGGACAGGGACAGCTTCCTAAAAGCGACGGCAAACTGATAGCAACAGATGACTTGACCCTGAAAAGCACGTGTAATGAAACTTGCGGGGAAAACACATTGGCCCAACTTTGTGAGTTATCAGCTGGGAAAACAATTCATGTTACATCTGTCCAGTTAATTGCTTTCGTTCTTTTGCAACAACCAAAAGCTAGAGATGGGGGATGCCAGTTACTCTGACTCCGGACTGTCCTCCCCCGGCTCCCGCACCGTCCTCCTCTCCTTGCCCCTCCTAAGGTGACTTGTCTGCTAATCACCAGGAGTGGCTTGCCACCGGCCTGTCCAGGAAGACGGCAAAACAAATCCCAAACCATTCAACTTGACTCCTGCAAGTACAAACTCCAGCAACTCCATCAAGTCTTAATAGCATTATATTAAAGTGAAACCATCTTCTTTTAAAAAAGAAAGAAAAACAAACAAAGGGAGAGAGAAAGAGAAAAAGAAAGGTGCGAGTGTTGGTTTGAACAATGAGGTTGTGAGTTCTGGGCAGCAGGGCTCTGATGTTGGCCCAATCGGTGCCTTGTGTCTGGGCCCCAAGAAGGCAGGCGGGAGAGCCCCGAAGCCTCCAGGCAGCAGGAGATTGGAGAGAGGACACAGCATTCCACCATTCGGGAGCAGCCAGAAGCTCTGACGGAACAGAGTAGGAGGGAGATGGGAAAAGCAGGTATGGATGCTTCCACTCGAGCCAGACGCCGTTTCATTCCCGGGGTTAGCTGAACACCGTGTTGTGCTGCTGGGTCACCCGGATGAACGTTGCCCTCCTGCTGAGCTCCTTGAGTTTGGCGGCCCCCACGTAGGTGCACGTGGACCTCAGTCCCCCGAGAATATCCAGGATAGTGTTTTCCACATCTCCTTTGTAAGGCACTTCCACAGTCTTACCCTCAGAGGCTCTGGAAGACAAAATGAGTTTTCTTTTTATCTAGTTCCCCACCCCCCATGCCCTTAAGAGCCCAGTTAGAATTATTCCCAGCTCCAGCACTTTCTGCAGACCCCAAGGCACTCAGAAAACCAGACCCCACCCTCTGACCCCATCCCCACATTTCTACTAAGTGCCAGCGTGATCACCAGCATCTCAGACGAACACATTCCTCCCACCCAAAGGGCACGGGCTCATTGCTGGCTGTCCTGCACGCTGGGGAGAGGGAAGTCCTGGTGAGTAGCACGTGAAGGAGTTGGGGACCCATACCACCCCGCTTTGTGCCATTCTCTCCAGCAACGTGCTCCCCTCTGCCCCTAACAGAAACCACCTTTACCTTTCTATTCTACCTCAACACGCACACCAACTTCCCAACAACCAGGAGCCCAAAATGTCCCCAGAATGGCCCTGGCAGATTCCCCCTGGAAACAGCCTCCTGCCCTCCTGATCAACAACAGGAAAAGTCCAGAGCTTCACCTCCTGCCTGCTCTAAGATCAGAGACCAAGTGTCTTCAAGGGGGACGACCAGGACGAGGAGAACATAAAATGGGTAACTCAGGTCCTACTAGCTTACGTGGAAATCACCAGCAAGGTGATTTCATTAAAGTGGCTCCATTCTGATAGCCTGCCT